TGATTTTTATCTTGTATTTTTGTTATTTTTCCTATTTTTTTGTAGATTTGATTTGCTTTTTGAGTGGCATACAAAAACCACTCATTCTAAGGAAATGCTTACAAAAAATAGAAAAAGAAATCAGTTAAGTGCATTTCAGTTGTGTGGTTTACAGTAGTAGCTGCATAGCAGCTGAAAGATCTGCACAACTACACTGTGAAAAAATGCAGTTGAAATAAATTTGAAATAAATTTTGCGTTCTAAATAAATTTGATGTGAAATTAGAAACGTTCTTAATATACCATTTTTATTTTATTTTCGAACTGAAATAGTTTCTTAAATTAAATTCACTTTGTAGTTATAATACTTCCTATGGAAGATATACGAGCATGATGTAGTTTACTGAATTTGATAAAACTTTAGATCATGGTGAGACACTATTTATAACTCAATAATATCACATTTGGTTTCAATGTCGAAATAAACAAATATACTTCATAGTCGAACAAAAGAGCTGCAATAGCTCTCTGGTATATTGTATAAAAGGAATTTTTTATTAAACTTTTGTTATTTTTCGATGTTGGGATTTCTTCGAGTACACCAAAACACAATTGCAACCACAGTGGCAATAGAAATGGCAGCAAGTGGCATGCTGCACATCTGCCGAAGAGCTGAGCTCTTGTTGAGCATTGTGGATGCGTGTGTATGTGTATATGTTTGTGTATATTTTGATTTAATTTGCAATGTGCTTCAAAGTGCATTTACCATGCCTTACAATTTCGAAATGTCACCCAGAAGGTGGTTAGGGGGGAGGGGGACTGTCATAACAATGGCATTGGCTGACAGTTGCCACGTGCCACACGCAGTTGCGCCACTGACAGCCGGGCATTAAGCTTGAGCTCTGGCATAATTTGGCCAAGTGATAAAGCTCTGTTCATGAACTATCTTTTGGCAGTAATTTAGTGTTGACATTCATGTGAAATGCGAAATGCTTCTTTAAGAGCAGCTCCCGTTGACAAATGTGGCTTTTAGTTCGAGCAAATGGGTACGGGACAGGAGTGTAGAATTTTCCACTCGATGCCCATTTGCATAACGAATGCGACACACACAGATTTGCAATGGCAAAAATTTTAACACGCCCCCAATGGCAGGACATGCAAAAACCAAATGTCGCTTGGCTTTTGTTATTGTTCCGCCCCTTGTTGTTATGATTGTTGTTTTTGCTGTGGCGGTTAAGTGGTAAATGGCTAGAGTGGTAAATGGCAAATGGAGAATGGACTCAGCCCCAATGCATATGCATTGATGGGCATGTCATGGCGAGGCAAAGTCAAACAAACAGTTTTGCTTGAATGTGTGCATTCAGATAAAAGCTGCACCCATCTGCATACACGTGTATATGTGTATGAATGTGTGTGTGTGTAGTGTGTGTGCCGTTATGGCTGTGCGTGTTATGATAGGCAGCCTGCGGTTCGAAAAGTGCGTCCTTTGTTCTATTCGTGGCTCGAGAACCAGTTTGAAAATGCTGCTTAATTCAATATTCACGATTTAAAATTGTATTTTATTTACGAATTTATTGAATTATAAATTATATTGAATTATAAAATGTAATTTAAATGATTTTTGTTTTTGTGACTAGTGCAGTAATTTATAAGAATTTTTACTGTCGCACTACGAAATAATAATAATAATAATATATATACAAATTAATTATATGCAGAATAAAAATTGTAATGAATGTTTACGATTTAAAATTCAATTTATTTTAATAAATGTTTTGATGGAGTCCCTCTTTTGTTGTTTAAATAAATCATAACTATGCGTTTGAGAGTGTCTCGTGCAAAAATTATTTTAAAAATATAAGCAATGCTAAAAATATCTCGCCAAAAACATACTGTACTATTAAGGTATTTATAGATATAATTGTACATTTGTTAGAATGTTGGTTTTGTTATCTTTCAAATTGAAAAAGTCCGAAGCTAAAACTTATTCTTCATTGTAACCTATATCGACAGCCCACATTTGTAAAAGTATTTATCAACATTTTTTATAAATACCGCATTCAAGTAGGTTTTGATAATCAGTATCAATATCATTTATTAAAGTACTTTGAAGGCACTTTGATCGATATTTGAATATTATTAATTAGATTTGATCGATTTTTGAGTGTACATATGTATGTTTTCTTTTTCAGACAATTTGGGTTTTCTTTACAATTTATATTGTTTTTAACAAAATGTATAATTATTGTTCATATATTCTGCAGATACTTGTATTTGTGGAAAAGAAATTCGAAATATAGGTTTAACGAATTAATACACGTCGTGTATTTGTATTTTGACCACCAGTCGAAAAATAACAAAAAAAATACAAAAAACACCTGCAATTTTAATTATTAATTAGATTGCTGGATCATTACCTCGTTTATATATAGCGGCAACCGCGTTAATTAAGTGTGAACGTTACTTGTTTACTTTATTGTTCATTGACTTTGATGCGCCACTATTCTACAAGTACCTCTAGATCTACATAAGATTGCATTGTCATTCACAAACGTATATTTTGTATGTCGGAGATTCGCTCTGATATATATGATTTTATTTATGTTTTTCGACCTGCTGCAACTTTATACTGAGTAGCAGTTAGTGCTATACGTTTTTTTTTTTTTTAATTGTTGCTAAAAATAGTTCATAGTGCTACAAGTTTCATAAAATGTACAAATCTAAACGTTTTAAGTGTCTTTTCGAAGAGGCGAGAAATAAAAACTCCTATCATACTTACGTATTTCAAATGAATACATATTGCAGATAATATTGATTTCAAGAAGTAAACACAAGAATAATATTTATAATCTAAGCATAAGTGACTTCTTATGCCTCACAACTTACTGAATGAGTACAATGAGTCTCCACTTGAATACGCAGAGAATTTAAAGACTAGTTATAAGCACTGTGCTTGCCGCTTCGTGCGTTTGCTTATTAAGGTCCAGATACTACAGTGCGTATGCGTAATTTTTTAAAGCCATGGCCCTCCCGGTCCTGTTGCCTTTCTTTGTTCCTGTGCCTGCGTGCAATTGAGCATGTAATTGCGTTTGCCTTTTCACATTTCACAGCGCCCAGGCTAAAAGGCCAATTTTGATGTATGTACGGATGTATAGATTGGGCAACTGCATGATTGGCTGTAGGCTCTGACGCTTCAGCGTTTTATAATACCAATTAAAATGTCGCTCGAAAGTTCTTGACACTTTATTTTCTTTCTTTCTCATTTTGAAAAGCGTGTTATGCAGTGCAAACTTTCTGTCCATGACGACACTTGTTCAATCTGTAAATAGACGTTTTTTGTTGCATTTGCGGGCAAACGTAAAATAAATTATGAAAAAGTTGTCGAACAGTTCTCGTGGCGTAGGCGACAATTTGCAAATGTTGAAAGAAAAAAAGAAGACATCCCGCTTTGCCACACACCCAACTGACCTTCTGTTCATGGTCACAAATGGAGCGTAATTGGCAACTAATTGTGTGATTACTGTTTTCATGATTGACTTGGCATTACCACGATTTATTTTGAGTGTCTGCTGAATAGTTTCGGCTTCTGCCGACAGACACCGTGCAAGTCAGTCTGTGACTCTAGACAGCTGACAATAATTGCTAAATGCCTCTCTAGGAAGGTGTGGGCCGTGTCTAAACATTTCGGCTGCTCTGCTGATTATATGTTATCGCACTTGCTTGACTCTGCATGATAAAGAAACTTGGCTATTGTTATAGGTTCATACCGCCTTAGAACTGACTGATAACCGCCGCCGATCGTTGAGTCAGCAGTATATGGTGCTTCATTAATAAAATACTGAGCAAGCAAACTTTTTGTAAACATACTTTTGTGGGGATATGCCTGCATATATACTTGTATATATGTAGATATGCAATACCGGAAGACGGTATTACGCGTGTGGGTGGGGGCAGCTTTAGATTTTGTAGTTTTTTCTTCAAAAGTTGTTCTTTAAAAAAAAAAAAAAACGTATATTTTCGAACATATGAATTGTTGCAGATAGCACAATATTACAAATATATTTGTTAAAGACAGAATTTGGAACCATTTACCAGCCTATTTACAAATATTTTATGCAAAAATTTATTTACAAACTTGTTTTATTTTATTTTTTACTTCAAGTAGTTGTTGTAGCAGGAAATTAAATATTAGTACAAAAGTTTTGTGGGACACTCATAAAATGTTAATTATCATTAGAGATATGCTATCGTTTTAAGAAAATCTATTATTTTAAAGAACTTCTGTTTAAATATAACGCTACACGTAGAAAATCTGGCTCGTCTCTATGTCGCTAAGCAATAATATATTTATACTGTTTATATTTTTTTTATTCCTTACAAAAGAATCTGCAATATAATTAAAGCAGCATTGAAGCATTTATTCTATTTTGTTGTTATGGAAGGGTGCAAATGTATATAACTCACAGAGTTCCTTTGTATACATAGTTTAATAGTGAGTCGTAACAGAAATCCACATGTCTTCACTATTTGTTGGATTCGTATAAAAAAACAATGTGACTTCTGACTTCTTTGAATACAAAATTATTTGCTATCTAAGTACTATATTATAAATGCCAGAAAGAAGACATTCATTTTGTTTTGAGCTGAAAAATCTGGATTTATACTTTATTTCGAAGTTTTTAAAAATGCTCTTCATTAGAAATTAAATATACTTATAAACCTAAAAAATTATAGAGTTCTTGAAGCGAAGTACTATGAAAAGTTAAATGGCGCTTTAAATAATGTGACTAACTTAACACTTCAGCGGTTCCTCAGTGTTTTTATTATTATGGTATAGCTACGGTATGTGAGATTAAATCGATTGTGACTTTGCCGTTTATTGTTAATTTACAATTGTTAGCTGCTGACTGATATCAATAGGCCCTCTTAAGACAAGATATGGTGGTGGCGATAACAACAATGCCGCGTCGCTTTGAACAGCTGTGATTTAGTCGAAAGTCGAACGTCGTTTGTTGTGGCTCGTGTCGTGGGTAGCGCGCGTTATTTTTCATTAAACTTTAATCAACCATATCTGGAAAACGAATTAAATGTTTAAAAATAGTTAACTTAGTTGGCCGGCCATGTTGTGGCTTGTGATTGTGAGCACCTTGCTGGGCAGCGCCTTGGCTCAAATCGTACCTCTTTCCACATACTGCAATCGAATGAAAAAGTCGGCAACAAATTGCATGTGCGAATCGGAATCGAACTTAGTGGTGGTGCGGTGTACCGACGAATATGCCATGCAATTGGAACAATCGGATAGGGAGACGAACATTTTTATGAGTTATTACGATGTCTTTGATCTTGACCATTTGCCATGCTTTAACCTTGTGCAGGTGACCAAGTTCGAGTTTGATGCTTACAACTTTTGGAATGAGACCTTTTGGAGTGATTTGCAGTCGAAGTTGGGCATTGAATCTATACTGGCGATTGAAGTTCGTGATCGACGTGTAGATAATGCGAGCAGAATGGCACTAACGCAAAAGTTGACTGCTGCTGACGTCAATATTAGCGATTATAGTGGTAGCCACGAAATTAGTAATAGTAGCGACTCCGGCAAGATCACTATTGAAATTAGCAACGTATACGAGAATGGCAGCAACATCTACAGCACTAGCAACATGTATGGCAATGCCAGCGATACCTACAACGTTAGCAACATCTACGACAAAAGCAACAATATTAGCAACATCCTTAGCAACAACAACATTAGCCAAACCAAGAAAAAATATAACGATACAAATTGTGACACTAGTTTAAACAAAACCACTTGGTTTTTTAGCTATGTGCAGAATCTAAGCTCCTTCACATTTGAAAGTGACATCTACCAACTGGAGGAGGATATGTTTCAAGCCTTTACAAACCTAACACAACTGGAGTTGAAACTGTCTGTAGATTGGCTGCCCCCTCTACTATTTGCACCCTTCGCAACCACTTTACAAGAGATAAATTTTGAGAATTCGCGTTCGGTGAACTTTAGTTCGGCCCTCCTGCGGCAGATGTGTCGGCTGGAAAATGTTACAGTGCACCTAGGAGGAAATGCGGCCAAGTTGCAGCCGCAATTATTCACCAACATGTCGCAGCTTCGGGAAGTGCATCTGCTAAGTGCCTCATCGAAGGTGGATCACCGAATGTTCCGGGGCAGTCACAATTTACGCATCATACAGATCGTGTTTAACGACTTCCTAAATAAACTGCCTGTGGGACTTTTCCGGGATCAGTTTTTTTTGACCGACCTTGATTTGCATTCAAATAGCTTGAGTGAGCTGCCAGTTGGACTCTTTAGTTCTCTTCATCGTCTTCAGACTCTGGATTTATCCAGAAACAAGCTTTGTGCGCTATCCAGGTTGGCATTAAAATAATGTAATTGGTCATACTCTGGCAAGATCGTCTTTTACTTTAAGTTGTTAAAGCCTAACTAAAACTTAGTAAGAATTTAGCTTAAAACGAAAAGATAAAATTCCAGATAGCAAAGCTTATTGGAAGTATGGGTAGATTGCAGGTAAGAAATATTCTTATGCCATAGGCATAAATCTGAACAGATGTGTCAAAATGTTTGCCAAACCATACGGCAGAACTTTTCCAAGGACTATAAGGCCACACATCGGAAGAGTCCTAAAATTGAAAAAGTGTTAGCAGTGCAAGATTTCGTTGTTGAAGAGGTATATAAGTAGGTATAAATAAGCAGCGAAAAACATAAATATATGTTATATAAATAGACAAAGAAGGTAAGATAAGATATTGAGAAGCGCCTCGCCCAATAGGGGTTGATTTATTAGCCCTTCATACCTATTACTTCCTATATTGACGGCTATGTGTGATCAGGCAGCCCCAAGCGCACACAGGAAGTGAAAATATGCTTCTTTTAGGATCGATTAGTCTAAGAAGTACCCAATAATCCGGATTGCCAATTAATAAGGTTTAAATGTTCAGATGTGAGTGTTGCTTGTTAACTTAATTTTGGGTTTGTTTGTTAAATTTGCATTTATCATTTATGCTTTCTTTGTTCTTGAATATTAGCAATTATAGAGTTATTGTTGATGGAAAACATCACGTTTATTTAGGAGCTTCATGCGCTTTAGTTTTAAAACGTATGTCATCAGAGAACTTTTTTATCACGACCAGATTTTTGTCGCTTTTATGAAATACCTTAAAATTAGCGATTTGCAAGAGTATGACTATTTACCGCTATTTGTGGTTAGTTCTTACATTCATTCTGTGATATTTCCTCTACAATAGCGATCTTTTGAAGCCATTGTGGTCCCTGAACATGCTTAACGTGAACTATAACTCTCTTATTGCCCTGGAGTCGGCCACATTTAGTGAGCTACGTAGTCTTAGCTTCATAGATATGCGAGGTACCCAGTTTTATGGTACGAGGCTGTCCATGCATTACGAGGCCCTGCTCTGCACCAATGATGTGATTTGTCAGTATAAGGCGGAGACCTGGCAATGTGCTAGCGATTGCATTTGCTGGGTGGAACGAGACACTCTCGAGCTGATTGTAGATTGTCGCGGCAGTGCGCTGAAAGAGCTGCCAGAGTTGCCGCACACTCGACTCGTGCAGACCATCGTAAGGGCGTCCAATAATAGTTTGAAGGCGCTTCCTTCAGCCAACTCGACGGGTTATGCCAATGTCACGGAATTGCATTTGGCGCACAATCATTTGAAGCATTTCAATAGCTCCATACAGCTGCCGATCAATCTGACTTTTCTGGATGTGCGTTACAATCACATTAACGGCTTCAGCGATGAGTTCGTCGGTTATTTGGAGAACAGCACTCTAAAGCTGGCTCTGGCCGGCAATCCACTGCACTGCGACTGTAATGCGCTTCCGCTTTTGAACTTTGTGCGCGCTCAGCCGCAACGGGTTCGCGATATTGGGGAGCTGCAATGCGCCACGGGCACGGGTGCCGTATATAGAAAGGCTTTTCAGCAGCTAGACGTGGATGAGATTTGCCCGTCATATGTACTGCTCATTGGTTGTATTGTTGGCGGGTTAGTGGTGCTCGGATGCTTGATTTGCACTCTCTATTTAGCATACAGGCAGCAGCTCAAGATCTGGCTGTACAACCATAATTGGTGCCTCTGGTGGGTGTCTGAGGAGGAGCTGGATAAGGACAAGCTCTACGATGCCTTCATCTCGTACTCGCACAAAGATGAGGAGCTGATTACGAAACTTTTGCCCAAACTGGAGACCGGACCGCATGCGTTCCGGGTTTGCTTGCACAGTCGGGACTGGCTGGTGGGCGATTGTATTCCGGAACAGATTGTACGCACCGTGGAGGACTCGAAGCGTATATTAATCATACTTTCGCAACATTTTATCGAGTCTGTCTGGGCACGCATGGAATTCCGTATTGCCTATCAGGCTACACTTCGCGACAAGCGTAAAAGAATTATCATAATACTGTACAAGGAGCTGGAGAACTTCGAGGGCATTGACAGTGAATTGCGTGCATATCTAAAGCTCAACACCTATCTTAAATGGGGGGATCCTTTGTTTTGGAGCAAGCTGCGGTACGCCATGCCGCACAATCGCCGAGTGCTCAAGGGACAAACTAAGCGCCCAGCACCGTTGGTCTAACGACAATTTTTATTTTAAGTTTGCGCCTAGTTTTTAAGTCACATTAAAAGCATGTTTGAAGATTTGTCAGACCCACCAACTATTTATATTGTTGATAAAGAAGTCGAGTAGGACTGTTGACAAAGCTATTTAAAGAAATTGATTTAAAAAAGAACTTTGATATTATTGTATCAAATATGGACAAAGTACCGATAATAGCGATGTAGACACGTTATATCAACAGTGTTAATATCGAGTCCGACTGTTCGCCTGTGCACTTGTATTTTGAAAAGTCCCGAACACTGAAGGGCTATACAGGATAATAATGTTTGATATTGTTTTAAGTATAAATAAATCTGTCTCTATTAAAACATTCGTGTTTGAAATCTTTTCAACTCTCTTTGTTCTTATCTAGGTTCATAGAACTGTTTTACTGAAGCCTGTTGCCATAATCGAAATCTCCGCTCATGCTTTGTAGTTGTGCAATATATACAATTTTTGTATAATTTTTATTAAGAAACTTATTTTTATAAAGTTATAAAATAAAACTAGATTGCCAATATTTCAAACTATTTGTTGAGTGTGCTGACAACAATGTTTCATAAACTATTTATTAGAAATTAGTCTAATAAAAACTAGTTTGTAAATAATTACTTATATATATGTACTTTTCAAACAGGGAACAGAGTTTTCTAAAATTTATATTAGTAAATAATTAATATTGCAAAAAGCTTTGTATGAACGTCAACATAAAAAAAAATTCTCTGTCGAAACACACGCTCGGTATCTGATCTTAATTCTGGGACCAAAGTTTAAGTAGGGTACAATATTTCTATATTTTGTACCCTAGTTATGCTAGTTAAGTACTGCTTTTTAACCTCTAGCTCTCACTTTGTGAAATCGAAGCTTGTTAGCGTACATATGCTGACTTGTTATGAAACAATATATAGAATACTAATTATGTAATGTATGTGCAAATCATATTCGATTCACTTGTTAACTCAACAGAGTTAATTTTATTTGATACGTTGGGCCCTGTTGCATGTGAATATAGTACAACTATTATGATTGCAGTACTTTAATGATGCAGGCCCTGTGCCTTAGACTGATGTTAGCCATAGTGTGTCTAACACATGGCTACTGCGAAGAAAAAAATGAAAAAGTAGGAAAATGTGATTCAGATTCGGTGATGGTCAAAGGAAGTTGTCGTAAAATAAAAACCATTCCGTAAGCTCATTTTTAACAAGATTTAGCTAAATAATAATTATTTTTTTCTGTTTGGCAAGGATGCAAAATATATTAGCTGGAACTCTTCCCAACGAAAATAAACCGGCATTTCTTAATGTTCCGACGAAGCGACCGTAAGTTATTTATTTTATGCGAAACACAATTGTGAATGTCACTCTGATTGTCTGTTAAGGAATTGTGAGAGAGGTCTAATCTGGCTTGATAACCTTTGTCGTAGGATAAGCTCCATCCCGTAGGTGTTTGTTAAAATCCATTTTGATTATATCAATGCCAATAATTATGTTTTTCGGCCAGTATTCAAAATATTATTTTAGGAACTATGCCAAGATGTGCAGATGGACAATACATGAAGAAGGGCAAGTGTCTTCCAGTAGCTTCTAAGAAATCTGAAAAATGTGAGGCGGAAAAAATCTTCGTCGATGGTCGTTGTAGAAAAGTGGGTTAAACGGCGGTTAATGTCAACTTATGCTTCAAGTGTAATATTGGTGGTCTAAGATATAAAGCTAGTGAGAAGTACATTATAGTAAAACTGTATCATTTGTATAAAAAACAGTACGACTATTTGAAAATTCAAGCAAAGAGTACATACTACGAGTTCAACGCTTTTACTAAAATAAGTCGCCTTTTACTATTGGTAAGCACATTGTGTGGTCTTTATTGTTTATTCCATATCTAGACTCATCACTTTAAGAATTGGGATATAGCGTGTCGGCTCCTCTCTATTATTGCTACTATTTATTTTGGCAATATATATAGTCCAACGTTCTCGTAAGCTTTTGATTGCTTCTCCTTGACCTTTTTTCCATTTAAGTGAAACTGTTTCTCTAGTGCAAAAAACAATAAAACCAGGCATTCATACGGACATACTATTTTTACCCTTCGTAAAGAGTATAAAGTTAACCTAATTATTTGTTTCGTTTCAACGATTATAGCATATAATGTTTAAATGCTTAGATCTCCTTATATCATTGGCATAACGAATCGACATATACGATGTTTTGAAAGTGTTTTAATCAGCAGTGTCAGTGAAATCCTTGAATATGGCAGTCATTAGCATGAAATTGGTTCTAGCTTTGTTAGCATTTATAGCTCTTGTCATTTGTAGAAAGAAAAATTGCAAAACTCCCAAAATAATGGTCAAAGGAGTTTGTCGTAACCCCAAAGACGTAAAGGAATCGGAAGTGAATGTTTGTAAGAAGGGACTTGTCACCCACAGCGGCTTGTGCCAGACCATCGAGCGTATTCGAAAGGGGGACAAATGTCTGCCTGACGAGATCAAGGTAGCTGGTGGACATTGTCATAAGAAAAACAACTCGTAAGTTCCAAATTATTTGAGAAATTACAACTAGGGTAGGAATTTAAAGAAAAAGAGGGCAATAGTAGTCTGAGCGTTACAAACATGCAGGTAACGGTTAGATTAGAATTTTTCCAACTTAACCTGGTTGGAGAACTGAACGCAATTACAGGTCCCATACGGTTAGTATTATAGAAACAATTTAATTAAATTAAACTCCAGCAAAAGTATAACAGAAGGCATTACTTTGTCTGGAGATTACTCGATTTGTCATAACATTCAAAAAATAATAACTTGATAAGGCATAACTCATTTGCTAGACAAAACTTCTAAAACTAAAGCGGATTAGTTATATTTCATCTGAATATTCCAATACAAATTAATATATATATATTTTTTTTAAGTGGTTATACCATTTTTGACTTCCCACCCCAGTGCCCACCCGGTTATGTGCTAACCCCTAAGTATCGTTGTCGTAAAAGGGCCAGAACAGACATTAATGTGTTGAAGACTAAACAAATGCCGGAATACTGTTGATTCGTGCTGCATTGCTAGCTTAATGCAAAAAAACCTCTGCTTTTGTAAAATTTTAATTAAAATCTTGTTTGAAAATATTCTGGGCTCATAAATTGTGACGGCGGTTTGTTTTGTGTGTACCCTCCAAACACAGCTTTGGACTATCCCTTAAAAGAAATTGATGCTAAGAATGTAATTTTTTGGTCGTTCTTTTGAATTTATGAATTGCGTCTCACTCGCAGCATGTTGAATTAATATGTGAATAATCTTTTTTATTAAAACTAATTGTAAATGTTAATGCATATTGCTTTCTTCACTAAATCTGGTATAAATTATTATGGCCAGTTTTCCAAAGTTATCTAATTTATCCCGACCTGAGCAGCGAGAATTCTCTAAAAAAATGTGTAACATCATTAAATGTTTCGTTTCAACGATTATAACATAATAAATGTGTCTAGATCCCCTTATATCATCGGCATAACAAATCGACAAAAACTATGTTTTGAAAGTGTTTTAATCAGCAGTGTCAGTGGAACCCTAGAGTATGGCAGTCATTAGCATGAAATTGGTTCTAGCTTTTTTAGCATTTATAGCTCTTGTCATTTGTAAGAAAAATTGCAAGGCGCCCAAAATAATGGTCAAAGGAGTCTGTCGTAACCCCAAAGACGTAAAGGAATCGGAAGTGAATGTTTGTAAGAAGGGACTTGTCACCCATGGCGGCTTGTGCCAGACCATCGAGCGTATTCGAAAGGGGGACAAATGTCTGCCTGACGAGATCAAGGTAGCTGGTGGACATTGTCATAAGAAAAACAACTCGTAGGTTTCTATCTCATCTGAATATTCCAATACAAATTAATATATTTTTTTTTAAGTGATGATTATAGCATTTTTCACTTCCCACCGATTTGTCCACCCGGTTATGTGCTAACCCCTGGATATCGTTGTCGTAGAAGGGCCAGAACAGACATTAATGTGTTGAAGACTAAACAAATGCCGGAATACTGTTGATTCGTGCTGCATTGCTAGCTTAATGCAAAAAAACCTCTGCTTTTGTAAAATTTTAATTAAAATCTTGTTTGAAAATATTCTGGGCTCATAAATTGTGACGGCGGTTTGTTTTGTGTGTGGAGGGTGCCAGCTTGGGATTATCCCTTAAAAGAAATTGATGCTAAGAATGTAATTTTTATACCCTGTACCCGTAGGGTAAAAAGGGTATATTAGGTTTGTGCAAAGTATGTAACATACAGAAGGAAGCATCTCCGACCCCATAAAGTATATATATTCTTGATCAGCATGACGAGAGAAATCGATCTAGACATGTCCGTCCGTCTGTCCGTCCGTCTGGATGAACGCGAGGATCTCAGAAGCTATAAAAGCTAGAATAACCAAAGTTGGCATCCAGATTCTCCTAGGTCCGAGTAAGGACGAGTTTATTTTATTTTTTTTAATCCCCCCCCTTCCCCCGCTGCAGAATTTCGTCAATAGCGTCCACATTTCAAATGCTACCTAAACCAAACTTTGCACACATAATTTATATATAATTGTCTACTGTTGTTCAAAATGTTCAATTCGGTCAATTCTAAGAAAAGTTATTAGCGAAACAAATTCTCTCCAGTACAACCCCCCCAAACTGCAGCAACAAATTCGCTCTTCTTCTTCCTCTTTTTGCTGCTGCTATGGGCGCATATAACTCAGTGACGGAAGTTAACCTGGGTACAGGGTATTAAACTGTCGGGCTTGGTCGACAGTAGCGTTCTCTCTTGTTTTCTTTTGAATTTATGAATTGCGTCTCACTCGCAGCATGTTGAATTAATATGTGAATAATCTTTGTTATTAAAACTAATTGTAAATGTTAATGCATATTGCTTTTTTCACTAAATCTGGTATAAATTAGTATGGCCAGTTTTCCAAAGTTATCTAATTTATCCCGACCTGAGCAGCGAGAATTCTCTAAAAAAAAGGTGTAACATCATTAAATGTTTCGTTTCAACGATTATAGCATAATAAATGTGTTTAGATCCCCTTATATCATCGGCATAAAAAATCGACAAAAACTATGGTTTGATGGTGTTTTAATCAGCAGTATCAGTGGAACCCTAGAGTATGGCAGTCATTAGCATGAAATTGGTTCTAGCTTTTTTAGCATTTATAGCTCTTGTCATTTGTAAGAAAAATTGCAAGACGCCCAAAATAATGGTCAAAGGAGTCTGTCGTAACCCCAAAGACGTAAAGGAATCGGAAGTGAATGCTTGTAAGAAGGGATTTGGTGCCCATGACGGCTTGTGTCAGACCAAGAAGCGTATTCGGAAGGGGGACAAATGTAGGGCCGACGAGATCAAGGCGCCTGGTGGACATTGTCGCAAAAAAAACAAGTCGTAAGTTCCAAAATTTTTGAGAAATTATAACTAGGGTATGAATTTTAAAGAAAGAGAGCGAAATAGTGGTCTGAGCGTAACAAAAATTCAGGTAACGGTTAAATTGGCAATTTTACAAACTTGACTTGGTTGGAGGATTGAACGCAATTATAAGTCCCTTAAACCGTATTATAGAATTGAATTAATTATAATTAGAGTAAAATCCAAAAAACGGGTCGTAGAGGCTTTCTACTATTTTTTACCCTTTTGATGTTTCGGGTAGATATGTAATACAAGTTGATTTGCTAGACTTCTATATCTAAAGCGAATTTATTACATCGCATCTGAATATTTCAATAAAAATTAATATTTTATATTTTTCTCAAGTCACGGATCAGATTATAGCATATCGAACATGCCCCCGAATTGCCCACCCGGTTATGTGCTAACCTCCAATAATCGTTGCCGTAAAAGGGCCAGAACAGACGAAAAAACTCCGGATAACCATTGATTCGTACTGCAATGCCGATGGTATTCGGGCTCATCTGCTAACTTGATGCCTAAGCCTTTGCTTTTGTATAATTTTAATTAAAATATTGGTTGCAAAATATTTTATGCTCATAAATTTTAACTGCGGTATGTTTTGTTTGTGGTGGAGGGTTTATCCCTGAAAAGAAATTCATGCCAAGAATGTAAATTTATTAACAGCATATTTTTGAATTTATGAATTGCGTCTCACTTGCAGTATTTTCAATTAATATGTGAACAATCTTTGTTATAAAAACTAATTGCACAATGCTTTCTTCACTAATCGAATTTGATTTAAAAAATATAAATCCGAGCTTGTTGTACAGTATAATTTGTTGAGCTACAAGATATTTGGTACTTAGTATACAAAATATATTTTAGAAAAAGAGGAAATATTCTTTATTTTTGTTCAGTTTCGGGTTCCTTATAAGTTGGATCATACTTCTGTACATCGCCTGAGCCCCAAATTGCAAAAGCAACGCCAGAAAATGTAATGATAGCGAATGACACCCAGAACACCACCCGCCATTCGTTCATTGTTGCCTGGAATGCTTTGGAGATGACTAGAAAAGGCCGCCATATTGGTGTTTAACTTACATTTGGGGTCATCGCACCCACTATTGAGGGCGATATAATGCCCGAAACCGAACCAAGACCATTTGCGATAGCCATTATGGTGCCAGAATAGCACGGACTTAAGTCAATGGCGGACAACTTCTGACCGGCATAGTACGGACCCATAGTAAACATGCACAAGATCAGGAGTCCGACGACGAGCAGTTTGTTGCAGCCTGCATAGGATGCAACGACCATAAAAAGGCCTGGTCCGACGGCGGCTGTAAGTTGGCGTTTAAGGTGCTTTACTATATAGGTCGCGTAATGCCACTTACCCACGAATGTCGCCAGCTTACGTTCATTAGTCATTGACATTTTGCCCGTACGTATGATCCAGTCGGCGGCTAGGCCACTCAAAATGGTTGCTATCCACATGGCTACGTAGGGGAGAGCGGTGTAAAGGCCGTTTGAACGTATGGAGAACTGCAGGACATCGGACATGTATTTGGGCAGGCAGGTAATCATCACATAGTAGCCCCAATCGTGACCTAGTTGGGATATGAGCACCGAGAGCATCACCATACTGAGCAACATTGGTTTCCATGGTATCGGTGGCTTTTCTTTTTTTAATGTGACTATTGTGCTATTAAGGTATTCGCGCTCCTTTAACGAAATGAAGGGATGTGTCGCGGGATGCTCGTAGCAAACTAAGACCTGCAATTTGTTAAATAAAGCAAGGAATCGTCTATTATGGGCAAATAAATTTATAATTATAGTTCCTCAGTTGCTCAGGAATACTTACGAATACAACAAACCAAATTATGCTTAGGCTACCAAAGAAGTAGAATGTCCAGGGCCAAGCCAGGCTGAATAATAAAACCCCAGAAACAGCGTTGCTAACAATAATACCCACCGTGCTGCCACTGTAACAAAGGGTTCCCAGCGTACCGCGCTCTCTGGCCGGAACCCACACCGACAACATCACTGTCATTGCTGGGAATATGGGGCCCTGAGACAGTCCCATAATAATGCGAACAACAATCAGTGCGTATGCGCCCCCTACTGTTATGGTGATGGGAGAAATTACGGTGCATAGTCCAGAGATGAAAACGCTCAGGCCCAACACCCATTTGTATCCAATTTTGTCGGCCAGTATGCCACCGGGCACCTGACTAATTAAGTAGCCAATGTAGAAACTGGACAGAATATAACCTTGCAGTTGCTCGGACCAGTCATAAGTACCAGTACTCTGTAATAAATCATCTCAGTAATTGGATTAGTAATGCCTTAGCCCAAGCTCACCGCAGCTTTACTTTCCTCCACCTCTTCTTTTGGACATACTTCTTCAAATTTCGAGTCTGTATCGTTACCTTCTGTACGATTAACCGGTATGACAAGCCGAGTGATGGCATATGACATGGATATCCGATTAGTGAATGCAAATAACACTGCTAGGAAGCCCATTAGAGCACACGTGACTCGTTGTGGCAATAAGCAGTCTAATAAATCGGTAGGGTGCAGTCATTGAGTGGGGGGAGGGGTAAAGTATTTGCATTTGATTCACTTACAAGGGCTGCATTTCTGTCCCCAGGATGGGCGCGGGTCTTCTTCCATTTACCTTTCAACTGTGATGTGTAAAACGATTCTGTGTTCTAAATATAAAATATACAAGATGTAAAGTATGAAGTGTCAATTTTGTGTACTTTTGCAAAGGTAAGCACAATGGATATACACGTATATAAATTGTAATATAGTACATGTGTAGTGCATCAAAATATGCCAACAATGCAGCCAAAGTCTGTTAGCATATATCTTCAACCATTGTTTTACTTTTCCAATGCGCTGCAATCCTCCGGGATATACTTTGTGAAAAATTTGCAAATGAATTATTATTATAACAATTTCTCTGGGGGGTGCAGCTTCTTCTTTGCTCAATCAAAATATTTCCTACTTCAAAATCAATATCAATACAAAAAATTGTTCCTCACAGTGTGGCTCCAAAGTGTTTAACTCATTTGTATTCATGAACTTAGTCTCCAACTCGCATGCTCTCTGTCGCATTCGAATTGTGTTGCGTTCAATAAAATCACTTAAATATTTATTCAGTCGCATGCTGGCAGCCAATGTCAAACTCTAATTATCCAGTTCAGTAATTGCGTCCTTCACAATTCGGAGGCTCAACACAATTTGCCAGCCAATTTTCAGACATCGAGCGAAAAGCAAAAAAGAATTGGCCAAGGCGGGCGTATCTTTTTGGCGCGTCAGCTATTTTTTTTGGTTTTGTTTCTTTATAAATTTTGTATTTTCCTTATTATTTGTTTTTGTAGCAATCGCTTGGCCTTTGTGGAAGATTCATTGCATCGGGCAGCATCCGTCGGGCTGGGTCCTTTGTGCTAGCGTTTTGTAGGCGTTTAAAAGTGTCATAAAGCGAATTTAGTTGAAGGGCTTTTGGCAGCTGCTGGTTGGTGGTTGCCGGAAGTGAAAGCAGAGCCAAAGGAAATGAAAAAGAATTATTTTATGGGCCAACTGCTTTAAGTGCAAATTCTCTGAAAATTTTCAATTAAACCCATTTACAACAATTCACATAAACACTGTTGAATCCGAATTGCCTTTTTTTGTGGAAAACTAATGGCATATTATTGCTGAACAAACAACTTACAGTTGGGTGTGTGTGTGTGTGTGTCTGTGTCTAGTGTGTGGCACATCATCATCATAACTCATTGCTCGTTTTTCAATGTGAACAAAAAGACTTCAAAATTTACTTGTGGCAGTAGTTTTAACAAACAGCTGTTTGCAGCTACTACTTCTCATTTATCATAGCTCGGTTTTCCCATAAACTATAAGAATTGACTAGTAACGAGAGCAGAAACCACACAGCCAGCCAACTAACGAAACACCAGACACCAAACAACCAACCAACTATCCAGCCAGTTCGTGGTGTTAAGAGAAATCGCGAGTTTTCAATCACAGTGACAGTTGTTTGTCACTGCTATTGGCTTACAAAAAATGTGGTTTAACTAGAAACATTTTCTTGCACTTTCTTCTTATTGTAAATTAGCTGGTTTACCTTTAATTGTATTTCGAAGACAATTTTGGTCATTTTTTAATCCTTAATGTATTTTTGTTTTTCATTTCTCTACGCCGTACTCAAAAAGTAAAAAAAAAACTAGTATAGTTTATTGCGAAATGCAATGCTCATAAGGAGGCATTCTGAATAAGTATGAGGACATGGGTAAGAACTAGAATCCGAAGCCAGTGCCCTCTACTCCTCCCTATTAGCGTAATTCTTGAAATTTTGTATAAAACTCTCTAATGCACACAAAATTATTGAAATGAACATAAACACATATTTTTTAATCTTTTTATTCAGTTAAGAATTATTGAAACATGTGAAGATAATTTTATTTAAAGAAAAGTGCTTATATCGTGAATTACAAATGAATTAATGCAGTTAAAACAAGCTATTCCATCTGATTTGAATGGTCTTTTGGATATTTATTTGGAGGCAGAGCCACCATAGTTGTAAATTGGAGCCAAAAAAATAAGAAGAGGCTGCTGGTAGTCTTCGTTGCTGTTTGCATTACGACCTCCATATAGGCCAGGAGCGTAGCCATAAGAAGGGTAACCATAGCCAGGGTAACCATAGGCAGGGTAACCATAGGGGGAGTAACCATAGGGGTTCCCGTATCCATAAAATGGCAATGCCCCTAATGATGGATATGGCAACGGAGAATATACCGGCGGGGTGCTCACAGGATTCTGGCAAATTGGCAAATGAGGAAATATGGGACAGAAGTCGGGTAGACCCGTCGTCGTTGTTAGATTCGGTTCCGTGACAATTGGGGTAGACGTCGTGGTAGTTGTAGAGGTGGGTTGTTTTGTAGTTTTTTGTACGTGTATTGGGTATTTTATAAATATTCTTTCCTCAGATAAGGGACTTGAATCCTGAGATTCAGTGCCTTGCACCAACAGCACAAATGACAACAATATTGAAGCTGTGAAAATATGCTGCAAAAATAATATTTTCGAAATAAATTTGGTTTCTCGTATTGATTATAATTCAACTTACCATTGCAAACAATGAAAATACACTAGAGGTTGGCCTCAATGCACAGCACTATTTATAGGAAAGAAGCAGACCAATGCACCTTACAATATACAAAGCAATGCCATAACTACCTGAGGTTATAACAATGCCTTAATGTACTTAGGGGCTTATCGGCACAGCAATTTAAATAGTCTTCCACGCAAAGGCCACAAATTGACAATGTCGGGTCATCTCAATAATTTATTTAAAAAGCCTGGCAGCTTATCTATCGCTGTTCCAAGCAGATAGGGACGGTTTCCAAAGAGAGGCAAATATTTAAGTATTAGTTCAGGCTCGCCGAAATGTTAAATGACTAGACATTTACTTTTGATGGGGTCCGATCGTACCAGAAGATAATAAGTCACGAATTGCGGAAGTTAAGAGACTGGCAGCTAGAATAACTAGAATAATTTGTGTGCTCATTAAAATATTTTAACCTAATTGAAAAGAAAGAAGGAAAGCACAGGGTACGCAACATCTTCTGAATTTCGTTCCTGATGCCGTTTGTCATTTGTAAATTATTATAAACGAGTCTTAAGTCTATCCTGACAAATTAAATGCGTCCTTAATTACTACAAGGAATATACATGAAAACAGTAGAAAGCTCCCGGGTTTTTTTAAAATTGTATCTAAAAGACAGAGCAAGCTAAGTAGTGCCTTATGTTTAGGACGCCTTTATCAATGGTTTCAATAATTAATTGTAATTAATAGTTAGTAAGTGCTGAACTTTTGAATAAATTCGGGCCTGGCATAGCTCAACGATCTGAAATCCCCCAATGTGAGTATGGGTTCTGGGTTGTACAGTTCGATATACCCAAGATGGGTTTGCGCAGTAATTTCGTATACCCGTATGTACTTGCAAGCCTCATCGCGAGGAACGAGCAATGCATGACTTGTAACTGGTGACATTGTTTTTTAAAAAGGGAATGTAACTAGTACGGAGGCAGCGCAATTTGTGGATTCTGTCTCTATTACGCTTGACCTAATGCACAATACTATTTTCTAAGGGTAAGGCGCCTTAATAGGTGTGCGCACAAGTACTTGTAGCGGTTGAGTTGGTTCAACAGTTGGTCTTTCAAGAAGCCGGCAGGACAGTGCTTCTTGCGCACGGCGTAAGTAACATTGGCTCTTAGACAAATGTTCACCGATTTTAATGGAACTTTAAAACGAAGTGAGCTTTGATGTAAAATAAATAAGTACCAAGATATTTGAAAAACAAAAGACATTTCGTAGTAAGAATGATTCCCAAGTCGACTGTAGAGCATCCATTTTAATGAAACTATAATACAGAAGAATATTTCTATATAATATTACTATAATTAACATAATCTGCGCATTGCTATGCCATTAGACTGATGTTCAAAGCAGTTTTGCTTTAAAAGATATCGATGTTGAAACAGGGGGCTTATGACGCCTGTGTCTGCCTATTCCATAAATATTTGCCCTTCTTTGTGTTTCTGCCCCGCGAGTAGTGTAGAAGTGTTAGGCAGTCGTAGTGTAAGAAGAGTTCAAGACGACATGCGAAAAACAATCACAGTGAATGGCTGCACAACACTAATGTGCCACCAAGCTGGTTCTTACTCTTCTCTTACTTCTTACTCTTACTCGGCACGTGACTTGCCGCTGAAAAGTATTGAAAATGTAGCCGAAACTCAAATAGAAAAGAAAAGAAGATGAAACTGCTGGGGAGCTGGAGAGTATCATCATGCCAGCAGCCCTAAACTATGCAGCGTTGAATGAATGGCACACAAGGGGTTAAGCTTCGATTGCCAATCCCCGCGCGCGTGTCCCTCTATCTTCCTGTTTAACTGTCTATCCGCCCGCATTACTGTGCGTGTGGTGGTGTGTGGTCTTCCATGGCGTTCTGGCGCCACAACCAATCGAAGCGCATGCAAAAATTGTTGCTGGCCAAGTTGCAGCAACTGTTGCCAGAAACCCACACCCACACACACAGACACGTGCATAAATCATTATATATTACATTCTAGAGCTTACAATGTGTGCTTATAGCATATGTATGTATGGCTGTGTGGTGTGTGGGTGCGCCAAAGGCGTCAGCATTTTATTACATTTGATTTTATTGCGTTTTATTGCCAGCTCAGTTTCAACTTGTTCTGCTCTTGAGCTTTTGTTTTTCGCTGTGTGTGTGTGTGTGTGTGTGTGTGAGCAATTAAGGATAGTTGTTGCATACTTTAGGGCACTGCAACGCGCTATAATTGCAATTGCCTGTAGTTATGTTTGTGTCCAATAACAACCATAATAACAATAACAACACACACGCTTAATTGAACATCATTAACAGGTGAAGCAGAAATCGCTAATGGCAAAAGTTGTTAGCATTGTGATTGATTGCAAAAATAGCTGCGAAAAATGTATAGCATATTAAATACGTACTACGAGTAATCGTCCTTGCAGATAATTATGGACAGTTAATGCAGTCATTTAACTCAAAGTTGATTGAAAGGTGAAAACTTTAAAACGATCCTTAAAGAATATTACCAAAACATCTTATCTTAATTTTGTTATTCTATAATTATTCTACGCATGTGTACATACATACTATTTAAAAGTCAGGACACCCAGCTCCACTTGTTGATGGCAGAGGACTTAAAGAGCTCTATTAAAAACCAGAGAATTCAAATAGGTATTCCAATAATTATTTAAAAATATTATTCTCAAAATTTAAGATTTTATGTTTTCCACTCTATTGAACATTTTTTTTGAACGAACTTTCTTGCCAAGCAGGGTAACAACTCAGCTTCATAAAGATAAAAATTCCAATACAAAAATACAGCATTCACTGCTAACTGATATTCGAAAAACAACAATATTTATATATATATTTTACTAACAAGACGCGTTGTTGGCTTGCGCTCGATATAATAATGGACGGCAACAATTCCAAAGAGCTTGCCAAAAAGTCGTTCATCCGGCGACCCATTTTCCTGTGCGATGGCGCAAATGTTTTGTTGGTTCGCGACTTTCTTATACAGTACTATTCCATTTATGATAGCCATACGCGTGCACCTCTAATTAGCGCCTATCATCCGGATGCCATGTTTTCGATGACGCTGTCGTCGCCCTTCAACATTTCGTCCACGCGTCTCGACAGCTATGTGTCCTTCGATGGTGACGTTCGTGGCTCCAATGATTTGACGAGAATGCGGCATTTGCGTGTTGGACCCAATGCAATTGTTGAACAGTTGGAGAAGTGGCCCAAAACGGAGCATCTGCCGGATTCCTTCACCGTAGATGTGATGCTTCAGACGCCGTTCTTCATTGTCTTGAACATTACGGGTATGTTCAAAGAGTACGTCGATCTGCCGTCTACATCCAGAGAGCCATATTACGAGTGCCGGCATTTTATGCGTCATTTCGTGGTCGTTCGCTTTGACAATGGCTACTGCATAAGGAACGATCTCCTCTATATAGCTGCGGCTACTCCGGAGCAAAAGTCGGCCTTTGAGCGGCTGCTGGAACAGCGCCGGGGATCGGGTGATGCCGGCGCCAATACTCCAGGACCGTGCCGAAAACCTATATTTAGCCTAGACTAGGTAATCGGAAATTATAAATGGAATTAGGGTGCGTGACAGTCTGTGGTGTTTTTGATTGAATTGAGTTGATTGCAGACATTGTCTAATTGTTTTTGCCTTCTAAATTATTTAATATATTTGCTGTCTTCTATTGCTCTTTCCCATTCCGCAAATAGGCGTTTTGGCTACTTATCTATATACTTAGTTTATAAATTGCTTTTTACGCTCTGCAACGAATTGGGCAAAATGTATCTCAAAAATTGAAGTTAATTAAATTTAATTAAATGTTGAATTAAAACGTTTTACAGTTTTGTTTTCCGATAAAAAACAAATTACATTTTTTTGTTTGTTTTTCATGTAGGGGGAAGAGATACCTTTATTTCTCCGCATAGTCCTCGAAGCATCATTCCCAGCCATATACCAGACCTTTTTTTGTGATAAAAGCAGCTATCAACTGCAGACTCGATCTTATAAGTGTTTGCAAATTTTGCACCACCGAGCCATTTATTCATGTTTGGAAAGACTACGTTTTCTTTTACCAACACTTAAAGGTTGCAATAAGATTACAGATCAGGTGTAAAGTGATGGAATGTGGACGAAAATATGTTAATATACAAGTATATTAATATAAATTCATATAGGAATATATATTCATATACAGCGCATAGAATAGTCGACCAGTTGCGTGGTTGTGTCATTAATTGCTTTTCATATTATTATTGTTACACAAGCAAACAATCTATTTATCTCAGATCCTGGCGATTCTCAATCAACTCAATACCTTATTTTTTTGTGTCATATACTTGTACATATATTGATGTGCGTGTGTATGTCGGGATTATAAATAAAACGCGCGTGTGCTGTCCAATTGTTGAGCAGTGGCGCTGTTGATATATGAACAGGGTTCGGAAGCAAACAACAGAGCAGCAGAATATGAACTGTCAGTCATCATGATTAAAAAAAATAGTGTTGAATGCTGCACTTCTGGCAGCTGCTCTTAAATTCGCATCCTGCCACTGCCAAGCCTCCGTCCATTCTACAGTCTAGAGCAGCTGCCAGCTAAAATAAATCCGCGCATTTGTCTGCATCAAAATTCGTGCTGAGCTGGCAGCGCGTTCATCACCACTCGACCACCCACCACCCACTCGGGTGGAAATCAATCGCCATCGCACGTGCTTTTGGCTGCCTTTTTGGTCGCGGGTCGCTGGTTGCTGGTCGCTGGTCTGCCTGGTCCGACATTAATCAAAAACTCATTTACCAGGCCAGTAGGAAGTGGCAGCACTACTGGGACTGGCAATGGCACTGGCCATGGCTTATTAGCTGGTTGTTGGCAGGGCCGGTGATTAGTTGTGCGTTAACCCCGGTGGTGAACGGTAGACGCAATTCGCTACGCTTCGGTTTCTTCCTCTGCTGTGGATTTGCAGGATGTGCTTCGTCCTCGTGCGTTGCATAGCGTTATCTACACACACACACACACACACACAGCCATGCCGCCACTAACAAGAACTGCACTCGAAACTGCATTGAATAATTCATTTAGCGTTTTTTGGGCGCCTTCTGCAAATGACTGTGAATTATAAGCCAGGGCTGAAAAATTCTAGCCACGAAAAATGAGTCGGCGGGCGCAAGATAAATTTTCTCTGGGAAGGCCATGGTCAGCAGCTCTGGGCCGCCAGTGGTACCAATTTTATAGGCACAGCAGCACCGCATCAGACATAAATAACGCTATGCAACAAATTTAACAAAAAAAAACTTCAGTGAATTGGACATAGTATACGTGTATTATAATAGCGAATACCCTTCACTCCTCTACTTGCTCTATTTATTACTACTTAACTTAACTAACCCTTCTTCGTACATATATCCATCCCAATATCTACCGCTAATAAATTACTAGGTATCAGTAGGTAGTTTCGTATATGTTTGATTGTTAGGAGTTGGATAGAGCCAAATGAACTCAGTCAACTGCTCTTTCACATCGGCCGATAGTAAGGATTAGTCACCCAATTATTACTTTTAATGCCTCTGACTAAAATTGGCTGTGATTCGGGGCCTAGCTAGCCGAATGGCACATAAAATCTCCCCTCTCTGATTATAAATTAGTTGTTCATGCTACAGAATTTGCTATATTTGCGGCTCAACATCAATCATCTCGTTTGCACCCCATTTGTAGTTTGCATTTCCAAAAGCCACTGTTCGCTGTGTAAGATGCTCGTACATGAAAGAGAAGTCTAATTTTCTATATATTTTAATGGACTGTTTTTTATTTTTAAATTTTTTCAAATATTTCGATGTACTGTAAAAATAGTTTTTTTTGAGCCCTATGCTATTAGATCTTATCAAATATCTTGGTTTTTTTGAATTTCTGTCAATTGTCGTACCACTGATTGCCATTAACTGCTGACCATTTCTATAGCGCCATTTCTGTCCATCAATCTTGCACAACAGTGACAATATTGGAAGAGCTGTTGAGTTAATTGCAGCACTCGCGTCTAAAATCCATTAACGTGCGTGCGTTTTGTCAAAAATAAATATAGATTTGTGCCATGATTGATGTTCCCCACATAATTAAAGGATATTGCCCATAAATAATAATAAGCGCACATACATTCCAAATAAAACAATAAGTAACAAAAGCGATAAACAGAGTTCCTTTCAAAATCAGTACACAAGTGGCCGACAAAGTGAAGTGACGCCTACTCCGTGCTACCGTCAATAGTTTTAAAAGTGAATAGACTATAGAAAGTGAATAGACTACTGAATATTGATATCGTCGAGACTTTCAAATTGAGTGGCGCATCCTTAAGTGCAAATTGGATTGTCGCGGAAAGACGAAAGGCAGATCAGAGAGATGATTGAGGAGATGTTGATGCTGAATGCGCGTGGCCTGTTGGTATGAGAAAAATAAAAATACTCACAAATGCAAAAGCAATTTCAATTTTAATTTTCATTATGCATTTTAATGAACATGTTTTCTCACTTCAATGCACTGAACAAAACTACAAATAAAAAACTTTCAAATAACGGACTGAAAACAAATTAGTGAGCAATGATCCTATTGCAATGAGTAGTTTAGATTAATGCGGTTTAATCCGCATGCTTGGGCTTGGCACGACCGCGTCCCAGTTTCTTGGCACGCAGCTTGGCCATATGAGACATGACCATATAGCTTCCCGGCAAGGTCAGCAGCAGTAAATAGACTTTGAGGAATGTGACCATATCAAAGGTGCTGTTCCATTTGTTCGGCATTTGTACGCTAAAGCGTTGAGTCTCCTCGATGTAGGGTATGCTGCGCAAAATAATTATACCCTCGCACACAATGCCCATGGGATAGAGGGGTATCCAGATGGTGTAGCGCAGCCACGTGAGTAGACCCTGTTCACGTTTTAATAGTATTGTCAGGTAGTACGGATAGCTAGAAAAAAATTAGGATGACTTGTTAATATATTGTGATAAAAATTATTTGAAATGGTGCAATGCTTTAGATATATAGTAATAATGAAATGATTGTACTATAATTACCAAAAAAATACAATCATTAAAGAAACCTTAACTTTACACTTGAACAATGGGGGTTTATACAACCTACGGAATTTTTCCAATGTATATTAAAACCCTGAAACTTAATGCTTAATAAACCTAACAAAACCTCTTAAGCTAATAAAGCATATTTTAATTTATGTTTTTAAAATATACCTATCAAACACAATAACTTGATTCAAAGATCGTTAAAAAAAGAGGTGAAGGAACAGGCTATGAAGAAATCGAAAACTGCTTGGTTAAACAAGTTGTGGGTACAAACAATTTTTTCTAAATATTGCTTTGCCAATTTTAGACTTCCGTCAAGTGAATATTTAAACAAGGTCATATCCATTACAGTTTTCAATCATTTGCATGCATAAAACTTATAAATTGATTACTTAATGGGTCTAAGTACTTACCGCACTAGTTCCACTAGCGACCATATCATGAACACATAGAAGACAACCGGTTTCGTTTGCATTCGCGGCTCTAGTTCAATCATCAGAAAAAGCACAAAATTACGCCCCGATATCTGGAAGAAAGGCACCAGGGGACTGCCTTTGGTATAGCCGAATATCGGATGCAAAACTTCCAAATACTGCAGTAGTTGGCAAAATTTAAAAGCCTGCCCAACGTTCGCATAAGTCTTGGGTATGCTATTCTCTCCATCCCGGTAATATAGTACGAGCATGACCAGCATGATGTACAAATAGCCTACGAACATGGCCAGATTGTAAAAGATCATATAGACTTTTTTGGTGTGTTCTGTGTGAAGAAAATTGGTTGGGGGTTTGTAAATATAGTATATCCATTCATTGTTTAATATTAAAATACATTGCAAAGAAAATCGTTGTTTGATGTTGTAAATAGGGTAATATTGAAATAGAATAACTAAAAAAACTTATCAACTGCTCGAAATACAAGTATTCCAGAATGACATGAATATAGTGTTACTTCTACTAAGACCCATAAATATATTTTTCACCAAGAAACGTTTTTTGTGTTATTTATCCAAACTTGTCAAATAGGATTATTTATATCTTGCTATATGCTCTAAAATTTGGTCACTTCTGTATACACATTAAAAGAAAAGCGATTGCATTACAACTCACCCTTCACGTAACCCAATTCCTGCTTCTGAAGCTGTTCATACTGCTTCTCATAGTCCTTCATTACATCCCGCGGCTTTTCATCCAGGTCGGCATCATCCTCAGTGCGCCAACGATCGAAGTCTACCTTAAGCCAGTGTGGTTTCTGTGGTGTGGCCACCAAACGTGGCCACCAACCCGCTTCTGCTTTGCGTATTTGCACATCAATGTTGTTGTCACTTACAACAAAGCTGGCATCCTCGTCGTTGATGTTTCCATAAAAGTGCAAATCGAATTTGTAGGCATTTACGCCGCGAGCTCCGTAGCCGCGCGCACTGAATGCCAACGAGTTGGCCGAGAAGTCTGCGATAGCGCCCTGCCAAATAATGAACGGGTGGGTTTATTGATTTTTCGTTGTCTAGGGATTGCGTGCGATAAGCGCGCACTTGTCGCAGCTGACCTTTGCATCTTTCAAATCAATTTTCAGTTGCAATGTTTGTTCGGTTTGGGCCCAATAAACAAATGGACTTAGCTGCAGCGGAGTCGACATCGTTATCTGCCGTAGGGACGACGCCGGCGGCATTGTACTTGTGCCTCGCAAGGGCTCGTTTGCAGTTGTGGGCGACATCTCGTGCTCAGCGTACTTGCGTCACCACCTGCTTGCACAACTTTTACACTATTGAACTTTGACTGGCCTATTAAACTTAACAATTATTTTAAATATTAAATGGCACAAAGAATGTTTTGAGTGCAATTGGGTATCTCAATAACAACCAATTTGTTAAATGGTGCTGCCAACTATTGGGAAATCCCTAAGTTGCCAGGGCTTTGGCTTTCGATGCCGATTGTTTGAATGCAACGATTATAGAAAGCTCAGCGTTGCTTAAACGCTTTGGTGTTGTGTAGCAATGAGCTTTATCTAACAGCTGATAACACGTTTTGGCTGGTTTATTTGAAACGCTTTTTCGAAAATGATAATATGCCGGAACAAATATACGTAAAAAGTAAGATTATTTGAAAAGGCTCAAAATTGCTCATTTTTGTAAAGAATGTTAAGAATATAAAGAAAAGTATTGATTTTACTTTGAAGATATACACCAGATAGGATAAAGATAGGAATAAATTGAAACTGGCGGCATATAAATTTGATCCCCAGATTTTAGGGACCATGGAGCATACGTGTTACCAAAACATTAGGCTTTAATGCTATGTGCTAATATTTGTATATTAACTTTTTACTTTACAGTCAAGAGTACGCAGCAGGCCTTTCCATACGGAAAATGTTGCGTTTTCTCAAAAACCGTTAGGCACTTGGTCTGAACGTGTGGCACAATTATATAGAAATCTAGACACATGCTATACAAAATGACGTCACCTGCGATTGCTTGGTGTAGCTTACGGCGCATTTTCCTTGTCACAGAAGGTAAGTTCCTATACAGTATTATGCTCTCCTTGACAGGCATGAATATTGCAAAGTTCTCAGGCGCTTCCACCCGTAATTCCTATATATATATACGTTTATATGGAATATATTTAGAATATACGATTTATCTGTGAATGCTAATGCTCTTTATAATTCGCTGTGTCCCTTATTTAAAATGTAATTTTTGATGGCGCCAAACAACCACAAATTATCCATGAAAATGACCCCCAATGGCTACTCAATTATGCAGGAGTGTGTGTTAGAATATGAAATTTGCAAATAACAGATGTACAGGTGAACAAATCAAGCAACAACATTTAAAGCAACGCACTGCAACGCATCGTGTGCGTGTTAATTGTGTATATTAATATTATTTTGTTACTGTTGTGGTTTTGGTATGTCGCTTTAAGAACTCTAAACCACCGTTAATGACGTAGCGCGTGCATAAACGCAAATACTTACATATATACGAGTATGTAAATTTTTATTTACTTATACATAAATGGAACGGATGTGATGACGATTGTGAAAGGTTGCTTGCAGACATTGCACGTGTAAGAGCAAATGAGTTTACGCTTTCAAATGACAGCAGGTTGGTTTGGGAATGTTTAACAAGAACGAGTAAGAATGTTAAAGAAGCTCGCGACCGGCTTTACTATACCCTATAGCAGATATAATTAGAAAGTCAAACCAACGTGTTGTGTATTGAGATTGATTTTGCACCGGTTTCGAAAAAACTTCACATTATAGTTAGACATATAAATACTTTTAAATAGAGGTCAAGTCACAAAAAACCCCTCTTACATTCTGACTTTCCTTAAGGCAACAATATTTGTTTTGAATGTTTCTTAATATAAAAATGTTGTTGAAGATGAAGTATAAGTTGTGTTGGCTCAAGCACTATGGAATTATATATTCTTTAATGGATATACTTAAATCAAAAACTCAAAACTTTTCTCAAATGATTACCATTTTTTTGTGTAGACTCTCCCATTCCTTACGAGGCCATACGGGTTGACTTTTTTTTTATATATTTTTTTAAATTCACTCCCATATGGTCGAAAAGCTGTGCATAGTCGAATAAGCAGAAATCATGCTTATTTAAAGTCTATTTAGGGATCACAAAGAGCACTGACTAAGCACTGTGATCCAGTAATATCGATGCCTGATTTAAATATATAAATCCAGTGTTTCTTGCGTTGCCATTGAAAGCAGATGCGTGCTGGTGCCATATTATATATAATTTGAAAGCTCGTATCGTATAAAGTATACTATGCTTTCATTTTATTTATACACTTAGTTTTTATTAACTAACATTGAATAAAAACTTGCCAAAATGATTCGAAATGCCGTCCAAAACACGTTACATGCCAATAAGACTAGCCAAGTCTCTCGTCACCTGATTCTTGGGTACTTGCACTTCGATAGGCTGCTCAGTGATTAGAACTTCCGTGGTGGCCAGCATGGAGCCAATGCCCGCAGCATCGGTTATGGCCGAACGCAGCACATTCGTGGGATCTATAATGCCGCGTTCCACCAAATCGCAGTATTCATTGTGGGCGGCATCGTAGCCATAGTTGCCCGACGATTGCATCACCTTCATCAGCACTTCCTGCGCATTGGCGCCCGCATTACTGGCAATTGTGGCGCAGGGTAGGCGCAGAGCATTCTTGACCACTTCCACACCCATATTTTGTTCCACATTCTCGCTCGTTGGCAGCGCTTCCAAGGCCTCAATACAGCGCAGATAGGCCGTGCCTCCGCCCGGCACAATGCCATCACTGATGGCCACACTCACGGCATTGAGTGCATCGTTCAGGCGATCCTTTTTCTCGCTCACCTCCATCTCGTTGGCCCCGCCCACATAGAGCATGGCCACTGAGGCCAGCAGACTTGCGAGTCGCTCGTTTAGCTCGTTAACTTCATCGTCGGTGCCGGCCTCTTTGATCAGCTCGCGAATATACTGCACTCTTTGATGCACTTCGTCCGGATCTCCTCGTGCCCTAAGCAGATGCGTTGCTTTTGCACTGATCACGGCTTCACCCACCATGGCAAAGTCGAGGGTCTCGACACGTTGCAGTTGCACGACATTTTCCAAAAGTCTGCCGTTTGTGGCTATGGCAAGATCTTCCATTAGGGTCTTCTGCTTATCTCCATGGCCAGGCGCTTGCACTGCACACACCTGTAATTAAAATGAAGAATACTCTTAAGAAAAGTGCCTCAAGTAATCCATGGAATTATCAGTTCGTTCGTATTTAGTTTTGAATAGAACCGAAAAATGTATAAAGGTTGTGGGCTTGATTGATTGATTGATTTAATGACTACAAAGAAAAGCCATCCACAAAAGCTATTTGTTAATTTTGAATGCTTTTATGGATTGAAGTTTTCGAAGGTATTCCTATTGATATTGTTGATGAACTTAAAAAAAATACCTAATACGTCTCTAGACTTTAGAATATATACCCCACTTCTAGGTGCTTTCAGCTTATAGACAGCACAGGTTGTTTTGTTTTTTGAAATTCTCTCACTACTGCGAATCGAGTTTTAAATATGCGCTTTGTCTTAAATATTCATAATGCTTCCTCGATTAAATATCTATGCATATCATATCACAAATCTTACCTGCATTCCTGCGCAGATTTGGTTGAGCAGCAGCATGCTGAGCACCTCTTCAGAAATGTGCGGCGCTATAATGACCAACGGCAGGTCAATATCCTTTGCTGATTCCAGTGCGGGGATTATCTCCTCCACCTGCTCGATCTTAACCAGCGTTAGCAAGAGTAATGCATTGGTAAATTCAACCTTGTGGGCTGTCGGCTGATTGAGGAAACGCGGTGATATATAGCCCTGCTCGATAGTCACACCTTCGAGCACTTCAATCGTATCGTTTAGAGTCTTACTATCCTTTAGCAGAAATACGCCGCGCTCCCCCAACTCATAAATGCCATCGCCAATGAGACCCGCTAGCTTCACATCACCGTTTAAAGCGTTTCGTGCCACTGCCTCCACCTCCCAAATGCGTTCCAGCGGCTGCGACATGCGCGTTAGTGCTGCGCAAACCTCTTGCGCCGCTCGCAGGACTCCTTCGCGCAGCTGCTGCGCATTGGCGCCCCGCTCATGTATTAGCTCGCAGCCCTGGCTCGCAATGCTACGGGCCAGTATGGTGGCCGTTGTGGTCCCATCGCCCACTCCATTGTTTGTATTATTCGCGACATGGCGAATCAATTGGGCACCCACATTGGCGCCCCTATCTTGCAGCTGCACATTGTCCGCCACTGTTATGCCGTCCTTTGTAATACGTGGGGAGCCCAACAGACGCTCTATAATGGCGTTGCGTCCCTTGGGACCTAGAGTGGAGCTCACGGCATCGGTCATAACATCGACACCCTTTAACAGCATATTGCGCGCATCGACGCCAAAGCGCACATCCTTCGCATAATAGCGTAGAGCCTGGTGAGCAAAGCTCTGTCCATAGCGCTTGCAGCGGCGTAACATGCTTTGCTTCGGGGTCTAACGTTGGAATTTTGATTTACGTACGAATTGTAAAAATTTTGCGAACCACAGACTATAAAAAATACCCAATTAACTAAAATATATCTACAAATAGTTTAATTTTTTTTTCAAACAACTGCCACATTTTGCGCAGTGTAGTTGATGTGTATATCTAATATTACTTCATGAATACACAACTCAATACGAGTACGAGAAAATAATGCAATTCATACTTTGTACCCTTTTCGCCCTTTTTTCCAAAAAAATTACTAAAAACAACTCTGCAGAATTCCTAAGCCCATTGAGCTTTTGATATGTTGGTGATAAGTATAGGAGTACATATATGTATTTAAAGTATATATTATGAAGAACTTATTAATTATCTTAAATTATGAACAAGAAAGTGATCCATAACCGATTCTTTAAAATACTTTGCCCGACTTGGAATAAGTGAATGGCTCAGACTTACAAGAAATGACACATTGTTATTTCACAAACCATTTGCTTTAGTGGCCTTAAAGGGCATTTGCTCGTCGGGCTTTGGCCTTTTTTAGCTGCTCGTTTTTTGCTGTTATTTTAACAACAAATAATATTTGTGCCATGTTTCCGGCTTGTTTTCGGCGCTCGCTCATTCGTTTATTAAATGTGGCATGCACGTGTTAGCCAACTAACACACACACACACGCACACACACGCACACACACACGCACACAGATGCAAACAAACTACAACAGACGCTGAATAACTGTCGCCATATATAAACACACAGACAGCGAGTCGCGGCAGACATTAATATTAACGTTAAAAAAAACAAGAAAAGGAAAAACAACAACACTGCCTCATCAAACATGCGGCATTTAACACACACACACACACACACAGAGCAAACAGACACACGCACACAGACAAACATCGCATTACAGCCATGCTGGCGGCCCAATACAATGGGAGCAAGTGAGAAAGCGCCATACGAGCTATACTCGCACACACTCACATACACACACAGGCACACATTTACATATGTGTCAGAGCACAACAGACATTTCTTTCTCCCTTTTCCGGTGCGTCGTCGGTTGGCAAAACCGTTTTTTTCTTTTGTTGGTCCTTTGCGATGTTGCTTTCAGTTTGCGGCGAACGCTTTGTTAACGCTAACGCGGGACGGCCAGACGCGCTCCTTTGAATTTGCGCTCCAGTTCACTTTTCGCAGCATACTTTCGGGCTGCCGCTTTTAAATAGTGAGTGCGGAAAATTGATTAAGCATGGCTTTGGTAGCACATCGCATGATGTTGCCGGCGCGCCATCGACGCACCCATCAGCAGCTGGCCCGGAATAAAGTGGGCGTGTTGGTGGTGCCCAGCGTGGCAGAGTTTTACAACAACAGTGAGCCGCAACCGAAGGCCCAGTTGCAAGTAGAGGCGGCGCAGCAGCATTTCCCGGTAAATGGTGACAACAACAATGGCAAAGTGAGTGCAACAAGTTAGCCAGAAAATGCAAAAGAACAAAAAACAAATAAATTTTCGATTGCATGTTGCTACCAATTTGCCAAAGTACTTGTACGCCGCCCATTTCCTTTTGCTTTTATTCCCTTTTTAGCACCACACTAAAGACACCCGTACTCTCACTTCATCGCCACCAATTCACCCATCGAACCCAAATTCTCGCACTCGACGCGACTTGCTATTTGTTTTGCCCATTTTGTTAGTTCGCTTTTGGGCTTTTGCTGGCGCCAACTTTATGCCGCTCTATGTCCTGTAATGTTGTTGTTGCTATTGCATGTAAGTTTGTTGTTTAGTCCATATACTATACTCTACTCCAGGGACCCAGAATATATGATTGCTGGCACTACAAGTGTGTAAATGAAACGAATCGACCGTTTTGTTTGGTCTAATCAGTCAAGAAAACGCTGGAACTGTTTTCAAAGTTGTGCACCATGTGTTCAAGTAAAATCCTTCTTTATATACTTATTCTTCGTTTATTGTATGATAAAAAAATAACAATTCAAACAATTATATAGAGTATTGATTCATTAACTGCATCAACTTATGTTCATCAAGTAATCTTAGCCAAAGCGAATATTCTTTAACAAATGAGGCGGGGAAAAATAAGAGAAAAGAATTGTCATATTTTTGTTATATTTCTACCACTTGATTCTAGTTCTATTTCGTGCTGTACACTTCATTAATATAATTCCAATTTCGTTAGCCTATTTTTTTTTTTTTTTAAGTTATTGAGTTTCAAGCAAATTCTAAGAACTTTAATGCTTGCTCTCGATATCAAGAAGCTAATTGAGCTTTAAAAAAATTACATTTAAATATAAAAGAATCCAGATAGACAAATCATACAAAAATATACATACAGACTGATTTAAGAAGAAATACAAGTAATAGAGAAATAGAGAAGTAATAGAGAAATCTAACTGAAAAGCGTCTTTACTTCGCTTTAGAATCGGGTTTTAGACAAATTTTATTAAAGTTATGATTAATTTTACTAAAAACGTATTAAAATGTAAAGATTAACAGTGATAATCATTTTCATTTTTAGTATTTCTATTTCTTGTAATCAAATAGTGGTATTATGTGCCTTTTCTTTTAAAAATATGTAACCCTTTTAATGTCTCTTCCAAATCAACTGTTTATTATTTGACAGCATACGCTAAACACTCTTAGCAATAAACTTTTGTAGTAAACCTTTTCAATTATAATGAAGTATTTTTTTTTTTTTTTTTGTTTACTGATAAGCCAATTCAATTAAAAAATGTTTTCGTTTTATTGAAGATACTGTTTACCACACTCCTTGCCCTCCAATTACCCCCAAGACTAACCCATCAGCTGTCAGGTCTAAATGGAATATTTAATGTTCACCTTGTAATTGAATAGGCGGTGTTTTGTTGTGCCCCAACGTTGAACTCCGTGACACCTTCAATTATTTGTACAATAAAACGCACACAGCGACCCGACATTCTGCTGACTAAAGCCTCGGGCTGTAATTAATTTAAGATTATGAGCGAGCATGCTTTGTTGTTGTCGTTCGTACGACTGTGAGTGCATTCTAGGTAGAAAAGTGTTTGGGTTTGTTGTGATTTTATCGACTAGCAGAATGACGAAATGGCACGAGTCCTACTGGTAATCAATTGTTCATGACCTTGACCCGAATTGTGGCATGGTTAATTTTTCGCTTTTGATAAATATGAAATCGCCTTTTCATATTTATTTTTGCAGGCATAACAAATTATACATGGCAGCTAAGGAATTATATATTATATATTATATAGCAGGCAAAAGAATGCATCTCCGACCGCATAAAGAATATATATTCCTAATCAGCATGACGAATTAAATCAATCTTGACATGTCCGCCTGTCTCGGTAAACGCCTTTATTGCGGAAACCGCACACAGCACACAGTGACCAACACGAGTTATTTTTAAAATTTTATTCCCTACAGAATTTAGTCATATTATCCACACTTCGAAAGCTACATGAAGCAAAGTTTACACTCATAAATTGTATAAATTTATCTTTCATTTCAAATTTCATCCAAATCGATGAATTCGAAGATATGTATGTATGTTATTAGGGAAGAAATTTCTCTAGTACTACCTCTACAAAATACGGAACTTTTTCTTCTCTTTGCTTCTTCAGATAGTATAGTATAAGCAAGCGCCGTAAGTTTGTTTTGGATACAGGGCATTTCATTGTCAGGTTTGCTTGACTGTTATTTATTTATTAAGAAAGTCGAAAGACTGTTGATTTATTAGCTATTTAGGCATAGTATGCCCCTGCTCACAGATGCATGCTCAGCGATTCTGTTAAAACTAGCTAAAAAGGTAGGCTTTAATAGAGGATAGGGAGTGTTCGGCGGAAATGATCGTAATATTTTAACCATACGCCTGCTAAAGAAAACGACGATTAGTTGGAACACGAAGAACAAACAGAAGAAATTATTTTTGGATGAACTCAATCTGCGTCTGATTCAATTTATATTGTTATTATTTTCCCCACTTCACCAACCTTTCACTTAAAATAACTTGTATAAAAGCGTAGCTCGCATTCAACTGGACTTCACGTCAATTAGTTAATAAGCTATGTATGTTATTCATAAGCTACATTGGGCCATTAAATAGTGATGTCGTAATTGAATTTTGGAATCGATTAAGTTAAGTTCGAGCATACTTATTTGAGTGTTTATTTAATAATGTTTAAGCATTTAAATATCGCCCTACCTCAACATACTATAGACATAGAGTAGGGTTGATCAGCCTCAACAAACGAGTATTTCCAACCCCAATTAAATTTTGGCAATAGCTTACAAGCTGAGCTAAAGCAATTCCTACCTCAAGCAAATTTTAACAACCCCCGTTAAGTGCGGACAAGAACCACCAAAGCTTTTTCAAAACATTGAACACACATATAGTTGCCAACGAGCTTTTCACAACCTTCTGAAAATCGCACGGGCGATTGAACTGAAAATTGAAAAGCTCAAGGAAGCAGGCAGTTCTTGTGACAGTTGCCATTGGCAATTAGAGCCTTAAGCCTTAAATGAGCTTACTTGAGATTTATGCGACACCTAGCCAAGCCACTTGGCCGGCCAGACGCTCTTACTCGTAATGTATCGTTTATTGAAAATGGACACTAATTGTAATGAACAGCTCGGGGCACAGAAGAAGAGACAGAGCCCAGAGCCGAAATCGAGCGAAGTCAGCGGTCCATTAAACCAATAATAAATTGTCAATTGTGTGCCCAACTTGTTGCTGAAATAGTTTTGACTTTTAGGTTGTGGGACTCATGTTCTTCGATTCACGTCTGTTTGCTTGTTTCTTCGTTTGTTTGTTTTCCTTCAGTTCAGTTCAGAAAAAATGTACGCTTGCCGTTAGGTGAAAATTTTATGAAACTCATAGCTCGGCCAAAGGCTGAAAAAACGACTTAGAGCTCAGTTCGAGTACTAGTCTTTAAGGTGGAAACGTATTAAAGCCCCCAGCCAGCTCCGTAGATAGAATTGCGCAGATCCAAGTAAAAGCAATATTTAACAGCTCTTTGAAGGTACAAACCAATTGTAGAATCAATAGCTCAAGTCTTGCCTAATATTAATTAATTCAATTTGTTGTGTATTTGTGCAGCAAAGTATTCTGTTTCAATGAAAAAAAAAAAAATGAACCAAAATTATCTATATGTATTAGTGTAAATAATTAAAAAAAATATATTAATAAATTGTAAAAACTTCTTACAAGCTAGTCAGATCAACACTACCTTACGTTCATATTTAATTTATATATACAAGTATGTAGTATATAATTTGACTGGGAAAAATGCGTTGATTATCTTAATTAAACGTACGTCTGCTGCCGACAACCCTTTCTTGATCATCATTTTCCCAGGCACCTTGCCCTAACTACAAACTGTACTATACTATAATATAGTATTTAAGTAAGCATTAAAATGTTCATTTTTTATAAACATAAATTTAGAAATACATTTAAAATTACCCGTTTTCTTGAAAAAGTAGTTAACCCCTAACTACTTGAAAATTAAGAGAGGGTGTCATATCTACTCGCAAGAATTTGAAGAAAGTCCTTAAATAGGTCCTTCATATAAAACTTGTACAGTGCACTATATTTCTTTAGCACTGAAAAGGCACTTTTCCTTAATAGAAGCGTAGCCTTTTTAATAAATTTCATTTAAAATGCAATGTAGTATAAACTAAAATTTGTTAGTTTACGAGTCATTGAGGCCGAGCCTTTTGTCAGGATTGTTACAAATTCGTTATAATCTCGCATAAATGACTTTGTTTGTCAGAACCTTGTGGAATTAAAAATGTTGACTGCCGTGCTACTACTGCTATCAGATTCGCCCATCCACAAGCATTTCCGCTTCAATTAGTTTGCACAAAAAGCCCCTAAACCACAAATAGTATTGTTGTAGCCAAACTTTCGCATAATTTATAGATACAACAAGCAGCAAAGACCCATACTGCAACTTTAATTAAGTTGAACTTATCTGTGCTTTACACCTGAGACTGAGGCTGAAGCCCGAAACTGAAGCAGCGCCCAGGCGAACGCCCACACGAAAAATGCGCTCAAATATGCAAATGAATGTGACACGTTGAAATGCGGCTTTACAAACAACACACACACATACACATACACTCGCATATACGCCCATCCGCCCACTCACTCACCCATACCTATGAGTTCTGGGACACACCTATGGGAACATGCATTTTGGTCATGTTTACAATGTCAACTAGGATAACAGAGCACGCACAAGTATGAGAACATGCGAGTCTTGCAGTAAGTATATAACTAGAGCTTTCTGCGAGAGTCACAGTTACCATTAAAGAAAAAAGAGAGAAAAAGAGAGAGATGCGGCAATGTCATAAAGTTTGATGTCATTGCGAATTAGGACAAATTGGAGAGCACGTGTAAGGAAAAGGGAGCAGTCAAAGTTTCGCATTTCAAAATATAAAACAGCTGTTTGCCTAACGCCCCCCAAGTAGCATGTGCATGAACGAGAGCAAGTTATCAGAGAGTAAGGTGTCAGCTGTCGTTTGTCGCT